TGGCCGCGATGGCTAGTTGTTCGTCTATTCAAAATTCTATCCAGCCCGCTTTATCTTCTTCTAAAGCATTACACGCTCCTTCTCCTCCATCTTTTCTTTGCCCCATGAATTCTTCTAGCAATATGCTGGCTTCTTATGGTGATTATTCTGTTGCAGAGGATGGTTTTCTTATTTATAAAGTCTTTTATGATTTTTGTGTTGCTCGCTTGAGTTTCGGCTGCGCCCAGTTCCTTGCTGATTATACTTCTTTTAAGCAACCTTCTTTTAGCTATTGCAAAGTTTTTTTTGCGGGTGATAGTTGGGTTCCGCTTCTTAACTGTTGTGCGCGTTTTGTGCGTGATCAGCTTCTGGGCGAGTTTTGTCGTGCTCTTAATTGTTCTGAGTTGTGTGTACGCAATATAAAACTTATGGCCAATATGTCCGAGATGCGTGTGGATGTGATTGTGATTCATGAGGAAGGGGTTTTACCGTGTCCACAAGATCTTTTAAGCTCCTACCCATATGACTTGTTAAGAGACCTTTATGCGAGCCGCGAAGCTCTTCTTCTGCTGAACCTTGATGAATTCTTTTTAGATGAGATGGATTTGCTTCCTCTGTGGGCCTATGATGAGGTGCTTCCTTTTGAGGTTCCAGCATCTCGAGCCCTTATCGACCACGAGGCGGACTGTAATCCCAAAGTAACTTCAAATTCGTCACCCTCACAATCTAATGGAATTCCTGCAACTATGGTTCTGGATATCAGCTGCTCAAGTTCGGGGATGCATAGCTGACAATACGGCTGACTCCATAGATGATCTCACGTGTGCTCTTCGGTGGTGCATCCAGAACCTCACAGGATTTATTTTTATGATCAAAACTTTATATTTGCTACTTCATCGCCTTCCATCCTAAGAATGAGCTTCATTATTTTCATTCAATAATGAGGTTATGAGACCTGTAGTGTGTGGTATAGTAGTCTCAAATATTGGAAGAGGTACATCGAATGAAATGATTTATCTCTAGCGCGAGCGGAAGATTTCGGTTGATATTCTAGAATATGATATTGCGAAGCAGATAAGCTATGTTTGTCTGAGTACGGGGGCTAAACTAAGGTAGGGGTCATAGTTTATATGACAATTTCTTTTTCCGTGTATTTGATTCGATATTTTTTGAAGGAACTCTCCTGAAAGTCTTTCTTTCACTTTACATTACCTTTCCTGCTGTGTGTATGGGAAGGTTTATAGGGTTTGTTCTTTTATGACACGGATCATGGTTTTGACTATCAACACTTTTTGATTCTATACACTTTGCTTTTTTTATGTCTATATAGATCATTTTCCAGAAAAGTCTCATGTTATCATGTATGTTCTGAGACGTATTGTTTATTGTCTTTTTCACATTTCTCAGGAATATATATATATACATGACTACTATGTACGTGTAATATATATGAAGGCGTAGGCTTTTTACTGATGATGTGGCAAAAATCATCGTGGTGCTGGGATCCTTTCCCCTTCTCACTCACTTTTGGTTTGTCTACGTCTTTTCCTTTGTCTTTCTGTTCTCGCGATAGCGACCAGACCAAAATGTCAGTTTCATTTTTCTTCATGAGTATCCGTGTGTATGGGGGGTAAGGGGGGGCGCGTACACGCAAGTTGTGAAGAGTATGCTATTTGTATTTATTATCTTTTTACTCACTCGTGCGATTATTTTATTCTTTCTAGGGGCGGTTGTCTGCATGTGCGTAGATGTAGACCAAAAACATACTTCAAAAGGAATTGCATACTTACTAAAACTATCATCATATCATTTTTCAAGTTAGATTACATCATCATCATTATTATTTCGAGTTCCATTGCATTTTGATCGCGCAGTATTTATAAACTAAGGGACATACACAGGCTCGTGTACAATGCCAACACGGAGAAGTGTGTTGGAGGGCCAGGGCTTGAGCGAGATGGACCCATGGAAAGATGATCGCTGCCGTGATTTTATTGTTTTGAACACCATTCAGAGGCTTCGTGCCTACCACCTCCCGCCGGAGGATCCTATGCCGCCCGTGGAGTTGATCAACGAGGCTCGTTCACGAAATTTACTTATGCTACCGCGTGCATGGCCGGATTACCGGCCTTGTATGGGAGAGTCTTGCCCTCTTTCCGATGCCAACAAGGTAACCCCTGGTGATAACTATGTGGGTCGTGAAGGGGGCAGTGAGGAGGCCGATTTATTATCCCCAATGCCCGCATTAGAATCGCCAGGACCATCCCCTCCCGTCGCTTCCTTCGACCAATCTCTATGTGGACTTGATAAAGCTAAACTTCTCTTTTTCGGTCCGCAAGCCTTCACCTCATCCACCTCGCCCCGTCATCTTATTTACACGCGGCACTCCCGCCAGACTCCATCGTCGGCGCGTGATACCCACGACGTTTCCAACGGGTTGTCGTGCGGGGATCACGCGAGCGGCAACGTGAAAGGCACCACCGCCAGCGCGCATCGCCAGGGGTTTCGTCAACCCAATCATGCCAAAGAGGCGGCCGATCAACCACAAGCGGATCTCGCCCGCAAGGAAAACGATTTTGACGATATCGTACCGCGAAGTTTGAACGGTGAGCTGGAGGGCGCGCAAGAGGTTCCGCCGCCGGAGCGGCAAGCGACCCCCCGAACTACGGGTGTTGAAACGGATGCTGAGGGGCTGAACGGGATGTGTTCCCCCCCCCCTCCCCCCCCCTACGAACCCAGGGGAAGGGGGGAGAGAGGAGACGTCGAAGGCGACTGCCATGCTGGCGGATGCCACTGCCTCCACGCAGGGGGGGGGGAGGGGCCGAAATCACAGGATCGGGTAGCCAAGCGCGATGTCGATTTGGAGGGGAGGGGTCGTGAGGGAAAGCCCTCGCCGTCGACGCCGCCGCCTGGGGAATCCCCGGTGCGGCAGCAGCATCCGTGCGAGGTGGTGGAGGCCCTGATCGCGTACTATCAATCCTTGCTCACCCGTGGTGTGGTTTTAGATCGGCTTAACCACAAGGAACTCGCCTTTGCCTGGTGGGTGGTCGGGCGGGATATGTGGATGAGTGTGCTGGACCGACCTGGGTTGCTCCGCCGCGAGGCCCTTCTCATCACGCTGCGAAATTTTTACTACAGCCTTCTCTCTTCGAACCGCAAACGCACCCATCAGGGGGTCCGAGAATCGGATGAGCCTGGTGAAGCAAATGGCGGGATCAAAGGAGGGGGGAGCGGCGAATTGAAGCATAGAAAAACTCCCGAACCCAGCGATGCCGGTCCCGAGAGGGCTGCTGGGGGTAGTGCGAGCAGGCGGCAAGTGGCCAAGATGACCCCCTCCCCACTTTCCAAAGGGGTGGAGGAGGGGAGGACTGGGGGGGATGGTCGCCATCCTGACTTCCCAGAAGAGGCCCCCGCGCGGGATGGCGAGAAAAAAAAAGAGAAGGCGAAAGAAAAGGAAAAGGAAAAGGAGGTATTAAAGGAGAACAAAGAAGAGGAGGGGGGGGATGGGGGGACGTCTCAGTCGCAGCGCCCCGCAATGCGGCGGGCGCGGGCAGTTTTAAACATCGTCGCGGCGATGGAGCAGCCCTCACCTCGGCCGCGGAAAGCCGCCGTGAAGTTCTCCACCTCAAATGAGGGGGTGGAGAAGATCACCGCGCGAAAACGACCGCGCGCGGATTTGGAAGGCAAGCAAGAGCAACAGCGTCCAACCGCCACCCCCCTCACCACTACCCCCACTACCACAGCAATGGTGATGCGTAAACGTGCGAACTCCACCAAACGCCCTGCAGTGGAAGCTGTGATGGATGTAGAGGTGCCTTCCCGAACTCTTGTAGTTGATAAGGCGGAGGAAAAGGAGGGGGGGGAAGAAAAGGAAGTCGAAAAAGCGGAGAGGGAAAAGAAGCAGGGGGAGGGGGAGGTTGGGGGGAAGGCCGCCGAGGTCGTCCGTCCTCCCTTAGCTCCCCCTCCGCCGCCGCCGAGAAGGCGTCTGCCGGGGATCGATCGCCCTCCCCCATCTTCTCCTTCTCATTTTCTTTCCCTTACTCTTCCTCCTCCTCCGGCTTCTTCCTCTTCTTCTTCCCTTGCTTCGTTTTCGTTTCTCACCGCGGGGACTAACGGAGGGTTGGCGACGATGGGGTTATCAGCGATGCAACTCGAGGTCGAGGCCCGCATCGCGCGACGGATTTCGCGCACGTCCTCGTCGTACGCATTTCTCTTCGAGGAGGAGAGGAAGCGAGAGAGGGAGCGGGAAGGGAAAGAGAAGAAACTCATAGAGGGAGGGGTAGAATCTTTCGTGGAGGAGGTCTCCCCTCCTCCCCCTTTGGTGCAAGGGTCCTTCCCCCCTTTTGACGACCTCCCTTACGCGCAGCAATGCCTGCTCGTTTGGGAGGCGGCGGGGCTCCTCCGCGCGCGGGAGGCGGCGGAAAAAGACGCGCGTCGTCGTCGTCGTCGACGACAACGGCAGCGGCAACAGTCTCCACCCGCGCCGCGGATGACGACGCGTCGGATGTCCGCGATGGCCGCCTTGAGCGCGGAAAACAGCCGACAATCGGCGACGGAGGCGACGGCGTCGTCGTCGTCGTCGTGGCGATCTTCACGAAGCGCGTCGGAAGCCTCGGAGGGGGAGGGGGGGGAGAAAAAAACCACCCCCGTCGCCGCCTCACATCCCAACGGCAACGGCTCCTCAACGGGGAGGGTGGGGTGGGAGCCAAGGCGGTATCTCGATTACTGGAACAATTTCACCGGCTGAGAGGAAAAAAAACAACAAAAAAGGTGTGAAGTAATCACTCTTCCCCTTTCACCTTCTGTTTTTTTTTGTTTCCTTTATTCCGAGAAAAGGAGGCCTGATTCTGTCGGGGTTATATACCGTATTCCTCTGGGGCTTAGATCCAGGATGAGGCAATTGCTTTCCTTTCTTACACCTTGGCTAGACAGAAACACTGAGTCTTCATATGGATAAGTGTCTATATAATATATATATATATATATATATATATATAAAGAGTATTTCAAATAATATGTCATTTTATTTATTCATTTACTCCATGCTTGACAGGTAATTCTTTTGATGATGTTTCATTCCTTTCTTCTAAATACAATAGTCCAAACCATTATCTTAGCGGCGGAACCTTTATTGCCAATTCGAAATGTTTCACTTCATTAAAGAGGTCTACAGCCATGTGTTCTACGACTCGGAGTACCACATTCTTATTATCGGTGATGAATCAAGTGGCAAGACGACGTTTTTGGAGCAGGTAAAGTACATTTACCGCACGGACCCCCCCTACCCGAACCACGCCCCCTCTTTTTTTTCGAAAATTTTCCGCTCAGGCGGGGAGGTGGTCGCCCCTCCAAACCCCGCACCGCGCGCGTACTTCGCGGCAAAGTCCATCCGCCCGACGGTGGGGGTGAATCTCGCGCGCATTCAGCATCGCTTCTCCCCTTCCACGCCACCCTCGCACGGGGTTCCCATGGAGCCCTCGCCTTCCACCCTCCCGAGCGATTCCTCTTCCAACATGACGGAGGTTTCCTCGTCGTCGCGGTTATCCTCCTCGGCGGTGATAACGCGCGGGGAGCCGAAGTCAGCCGCGCGGACGCGGCTTGCGTTTTGGGATTTAGGCGGCCGCCCTTCGCTTCGGGTGTTGTGGGAGAACTACTACCCTTCTTGTCAGGCGGTGATTTTCCTTTTTGACGGGGCCGCGTCGGGCGGAAAAGACGACGCGCGTTACCTTGCCATCCACGAAACCCTTCGCGGGCTCCTCGCGCATCCGGCGCTCCGCGGCGTTCCGCTTCTGTTGTTGAGTAATAAAGCGGATTTACCAACGCGGCTGCCGCTGCCGGTGTTGCAAGAGGCCATCGGATTGGTCGAGTTGGCCCTGCAAGACGTACTTTATGACGTGAAAGCGGGGAAGTTAACGGGTGGGGGAAACGCGCGCGAGGCCGTCGTGGGGGATTCCACGGAAGGCATCGGCCGGAGCGGGTTCGGCCAGCGGATGGTGAAGCTGATGGAGGTGAGCGCTCTGGATGGAAGCGGGGTGGCAGCCGCGATGGATTGGCTCGTCGCGCAGCTCACAACGTAGCACGAGGGCGGGATTCCCAAATATAATGAATCTATATATTGTTATATGAAAGTCTATGCCTGTGTGTGTGCGACGGGGGGGAGGGGGATCCCGATTAAACGATTAACTTCCTCATTACAGGATTATATGCGGAATAAAAGATAACGGCGGTATCTCAGCCACTGGGAGATGCAGCTTCGCGTGGATAAAAGGAGCTGGGAGGAGGCACAAGCTGCGCGCCGTTGTAAATCTCATACTTCTTCGTTGCTATGTTGTTTTTTTCCTTGAGGTAGCCTGGCATGGCGTTCAAAAGTGATATTATTCTATATATTTGCAATCTTCTGTGCGATGCTCTCCTATGTCTGTAGACGACTGGGCTCCTCCCCATTTATTTCGACTTTATCGTGTACACAAACGCCTGCGCTTTCCTCTTCAGGAGGAAGCAAAGTTGGCTGCATGGCGTACCTGTGTGAGTGACTTTGAGTCTTCATGATTTTTTGGTGTGTGTAGGGAGGTCAAACCTCATTGCAGGAAGGATCGAGAAAGCAAAAAAAATGTGTTTGCGTGCTGCTCTTCTCTAGTTTGAATGGTATGTATAACTACTTACCATCAAGGCAGAATTTATTTCTTTACTTTTCCCAATATTGATTCCACCATACATATATATGTTTACATTTTTTACGCCTTTGCATTTTCGTGTGAAGTCTTCCACTTTCTCAGTTTAGGTTCGATTCGTGTTGAAATAACATTTTTTGTTTATTAGAAATTTTAGCGATCATCCCATGAAAGCTGGTATTCCTCACAGCAATGGCATGAGTTCTGGACCTGGTGGACTCATGTTTGACCCGAAGCCAATTATCTATGGAATGTTGACAAAGGCACCTCGTTTCTTGTTGAATTCATTAGACTCTATAATTATAGGCATTTTGGCGGCCTATGTGGTACTGATTATTTTTTTAGGGGCGTCAAACTTTTTTATCCGCATCTTAGAAATCGCATTCGTGGTGGGTGTAGGGTATGGCCTTGGATGGTTGTTACGCTTTATTCTTTCCTATAGCGAGCGCGTGTTGTCGCCTTCTAGTCAGAATGGTGATGATAAACCCGCCAAGGCCGAAAGTAGTTCGTCATTGACAACCGCGAGGGAGAAGGATTCTTTTTCTATGGCGAAAAGTTCACAGAAACATTCGTCTAAGGAAAAAGTTGTAGAAATGGATTAATCGATGCATACTTTCCATCGGTAAATATCGAAGACAATTAACTTAAACGAAGGCTAATCTCACCTTTAACCCACACTAATGTGACTAATATATCCCTAACCTCTTTATGGAGATACCTTCACTATTGTGTATGTGAGTTTTTCCCCATGTCTTCTCTTTTATGCATTTATTCGTTCTTTTTTCTACATTTTTAGGGTGATATCAGGGCTCCTTCAGAGGGAAAGTTACGTGTCTTTTCATTAGAATTCATATTTTGGATACCCCCTTTTCTTTTGTTTTTTTGTCCAATTCTCTTCGGTATAATCATTTTCGCTAGTGATTGAAGGAATTCGAATTTCTATTGACGACCTCTCTACTACCTGTATCCTTTTGCAGTGGTGGTTTAAAACTCCAAGGGGGATAAAGTTTTCCTTGGTTATATTTAGCATTCCATTCCACCCCAAACATCCCCTTTCTCCTTTCTCCTGCCTCTGTGCTTTTGCGCCTACAGGCACCCTGAGGCGTGAAAAGCGACGCACCGATGCACCCTTCGCAGAGCAATCGTCATTACGAGGGGTTTAACTACACCAAAGGATACGCCGAGGGACCCCCTACGCAGGGTGGATTTCTCCCGGCAAGCGAATCCCGCGAGATCTCCGCGAGCCCCTCGTTCAACCTCGCCGGGGGCTCCACCTTAGTCCGACGGGGGACCTTTCATAACACGGCTTCCCCGACCAGTGAAGCGGGCGGTTATGGCTACTTCCACCGCCATTCTCAGAGTCTCGGGGAGTATAGCGGGTTCGCCGTGAGCGATACCGGATCGAACCTTTCCCATCCGCTTAACAACACCCACCACCACCCGAGCGGCAGCGGCGCGGCGCAGCGGAAAGGCCCGCATGGCCACTCCATCCGCTCCCCGGTTTGCGTGCGAATCGGCGAACCTTCCGGCGGCGGAGGGGCAGAGGGGCTTTCCGCACCCCTTCCTTCCCCGGCGGGCGTGATGGGCGAGGGGAATCCCCCGCATAGCGCGTCCTCCTCCGTGGTGAACGCGGGCGCGGCGCCGCTCACGACCTCCGTTTCCTTTCTCCCCCCCCCTCCCGTGCAATCGCATAAAATGATCCCGCCTCCGATCACGGTTTCCAGTGGGGGAGGGGGCGTCCTCCCGGAGGACGCCGCACGCGCCCCTCAGCCGCCGCAATTTCGCCCGTCCATGCCGTTTATTCCCGCCCCGATCTTCGGCGCGGAGGAGGCGGACTCGCGGTTGAATCTCGCCTACCCCCCTCCTTCCCAACCCCTTCCAGCCTCCACGAGCACGAGCGCCGGGTCGTTGCTGCGAAACTCCCTCAAAAGCGCGTTAGGAGGGCTGTTGCGGGATTTAGACGGCGCCGAGGCGGGAGACGCACCGAAGCAGCCGATTCCGCTCCATCAGCTGCGCTTTGGCTTCCCGGAGGACGACCTGCCGCTGCTGCAAGAGCTCGGGATCGACCTCCGTGGGATCTGGCGGCGCACGCGGGTGGCTTTAAACCCTTTTGGGAAGGCGCCACGGCTGTCAACCTCGACGTCGACGTCGACGCCATCCGTGGGGGTAGGGGGAGCGACCGTGCAGGAGGCAACAGACCTCGCCGGCCCCCTCGTCTTTGCCGTCGCCCTCGCCCTGCTGCTTTCCCTGCAGGGGAAGATTCAATTCAGTGCGATTTATAGCCTCTGTGTGGTGGGGGTTGCGTTTTTTAAGATCCTGCTCGCCCTCATGCACGACGGTGGGGCGCCGTTGCAGTTTATCGTGAGCTGCCTAGGCTACGCGTTGATGCCGAATCTGCTGCTCGCGGCGCTGCGGACGCTGCAGGTGTGGATTTTCGGCACCTTCACCCATCTTTTGCTGCCTTTTGCGTGGGTGGTGATTCTGTGGTCGTCGTGGTGCGCGACGAAGCTGTTAGTGGAGGGGCTTTCGATGCAGCCCCAGCGGTATTTGATTTTATACCCGATGAGTCTGTTCTACGCAGTGTTCGCCGTCTTGACGATTTTCTAGATAACAAAGGGTGGGGGAGGGGGGGAAGTCTGGGTTACGCTATCTCCCCCCTTTTGGCTTTTTTTTCCCCACACACCCCTTTGCATAGCCGTAGAGATGGAAACCAGACCAAAGGACGATCCTAAATTTTTTGGCAGAACCCGCATCTTGCTTTTGTGGAATGAGGGTGGTGAACTTGGTTACTGGTGCTTTTTGTGTGCTATACCTTCTTGTTGGGCTTTTATAATCACCCTAAGTAGTTTCCCTATTTGTTTTTTTTTTTATGTATCTAGTACGTGCATTTTTGTTTTTCTTCATCAGAGTTGGTTGATACTGTAGTTACGGGTAGGGAGTAATACGCATGCGCATAGTGAAGGACAGATAAGTCTTGAGGTTCCAAAAGGAGATTAATATCTATAGATAGATGCTTATGGATACATAGCGGATATTTGGAAAGGACTAACGTTCTTATGCCTTTCACATCCCTTTCCTGCTCCTACTGCATGCGTAAGTCAGTCTATCTAGGGAGTGGGGAACACGAAGTTGCATTACTTAACACGCCGGGATATGCACGTTTCCTGATGCGTGTCCATTTTAAGTTGTTTGATGTGGATCTTTCTTCCCACCTTCATGGTGTATAAACATATGAATGCGGGTGTATCATTTTCAATTCTCCATTTTATACTTATTATATGAAAAAGGCACATCAAAAGGTCAAATTCTTAATCTTTCGCCCAATAGATTGGCGTACGCGAATAAAATAGATCCATAAGCGTACTCCCCCAAGGGTGAACCTTCCCGCACAAGATAGAGGCACTTGTTCTTGATTTAAACTCCTACTCAATCCTATATCGATCTATCGATAGATATAGATATTTTCCCCCTATAGAAAACTTCGCACGACGCAGAACCCCAACCGTCGGCGTCCGAAATCCCTGAGATCGAGCCATGCCGCGGAAGCCTGTCAACGGGGGCGTTGCCCGCCCGCCGCGATCGCCCGCGATGGACGACCACGTCGACGACGACGACGACGACGTCAGCCCTTTGCCCGGCCGGGAAGGGGAGTACGGCGCGGTGCTCGACTTTCTGCGCGCGCGCGTGGAGCGGCGGCATGGCCGGGCGCTTTTCATCTTCGGCGGGTGTGGCAGCGGGAAGACGTCGACGGCCCTGCGCGCGCTCCGCTCCCTCCACCCCCACGGCCTCCCGTGTGATCCCCGGCGGAAACGACGGCGGGTGGAGCCCCCCTTCGACCTTCACGAAGCCCCGCCCGACGGAAAATCGGAAACGGACGAACGGGGGTGGGCGGCCGCGGGTTCCCCCGTCGCGACCCCA